CAAGGTGGTCAAGGGCCCTAAGGCCCACTGCACCAAGACCCCTGCCCTGCCGGAGCTTAGCAACAGGTACGCACCTCTTGCTGCTCCAGCAGAGCCTGCTGAGTTGCCAGCTCCCACAGGCAACACAGGCTCAACTGCAGCTACCGCCCCTGCTCTCCCCAAGACGAAATGTAAGGTGTTTGTTGTGGGAGACTCCATCCTGAGAGGGACTGAGGGGGGCAATCTGCCGCCCTGACCCCTTAGCCTGGGAAGTCTGCTGCTTCCCGGGGGCCTGCATCCAGGACATTGCGGAGAAGGTCCCAAAGCTCCTCCAGCCCACAGACAACTATCCTATGCTCCTTATTCATGTGGGCACCAATGACACGGCTCAGAGTGTTCCCAGCCGGGTCATGAGATGCTACAGGGATTTGGGAGTGGGGCTGAAGGGTCTGGGGGCACAGGTGGTGTTCTTGTCGATCCTCCCAGTCTCAGGCTATGGGCTGAGGAGGGAGAGGAGGATCCACGTAGTCAACCAAAGCCTGCGGCGCTGGCGTCATCAGGAAGGCTTTGGCTTCCATGACCACAGCCCGCTCTTTGGCGAGAGAGGCAGTGAGCTGCTGGGAAGACATGGCCTCCACCTCTCTCCACTGGGAAGGAGGCTGTTTTCAGCCAGACTGGCTGACCTGATCCACCAGGCTTTAAACTAAGCCCATTGGGGGACAAGGGGACTGCCGCCACTGCTGGCCCGCTGAGCAACCCTTGCAAAGCCAGCGGGCCAAGGCGCTTAAGGGAGCCCACCCTTGCCCCAGCCCTGGTACAATCTTTGGGCAAGGCAAGATCCCCCAAGGGGACACTTACCTGCCTGTACACAAATGCCAGGAGCTTGGAATAAGCAGGAGGAGCTTGTCTTCCTGCTTAATGCAAATAATTATGACGTCATAGGGATAACGGCGACCTGGTGGGACTCCACCCATGACCGGACCTCGGGTATAGATGGCTATACCCTGTACAGGAGGGATCGAGTGGACAAAAGGGGCGGGGGTGTAGCTCTCTATGTTAAAGAAAGCTACATGTCGCTGCATGCTGATATTAGCGACCAGCGTGGACGACTGGAGACCCTCTGGGTTACAATCTGTGGGGAACACGGCACAGGGGACACAACGGTGGGAGTCTACTACAGACTTCCCACCCAAAGTCCTGAGCTTGACCAGAAGTTCACCCAGGAACTGGCTGAGGCCACGTGCTCCAGGACCATGGTTGTCATGGGTGACTTCAATTACCCAGACATCTTGTGGGAGGATCACTCAGCAAAATCCGAGCGGTCGCAAAGCTTTCTCTCGTGTGGTTGACCTCTACCTGACTCAAGAAGTCTATGGGCCAGTGAGTGGCAAAGGACTGCTCAACCTGGTACTGGCTACTGGGAATGACCTAATCAGCAACCTAGCTGGGTGACAGTGACCACGAGCTGATCACCTTCACCATACGCTGTAAAGCTGGGAAGTCAGTCAGCAACACAGAAGTCCTTGACTTCAGGAAAGCTGACTTTGACAAGCTCAGGAGGCTTGTCAGTCAGGCCCTAAGGGACCATGACCCCGGGAGAGGGGAGTTCAAGAAGAGCAGTTGCTCCTCAAGGGAGCTATCCTCAATGCACAAGCTAAGTCTATTCCATCTCGGAGGAAAGGCAGCAAGAGGGCACAGCAGCCCTC